TGAACATTGAGAGAAAGAAAACCCAGGGGTCAGCTAGACCAGGCAATCAAACATGTGTTCGCCATCCTCCCAGAAGCACACCCAGAAGAATACTCTTGAACAAGCCACTCCTCGCAGTCCCTGGTCTACTTCAAATACACTAACACACTAGAAAGAGGTTAAATGGCTAGATGGACTCGGAGAAAACAGGTACTGACAGTTTTAACTGCAGACGCACAGACAGTGACAACAGACTGATGCCCACACGCATATGTGCTGATCTGAAGACGAAGTAGAAGAGAGAGAATGGAGGGGGAGGAGAGTCCGTGAGGGAGTGAGTGTGAGAGAGACTTAGAGAAATAGTTTGCGAGAGTGAAAGAGTGAGACAAATAGGGAGAAACACGGGAAAAATGTCGGGAATGGAAGAGGAGCAAGCGGAAGAGTAGGGAGCAGGAAAGGAGGGGCTGGAAGAGGAAGGTGAGCGGGTAGTCCTACAGTGGAATGTACATGTTTATAAAACTTACTGTCTGGCAGAGTAGTGACATCCAGTTCGAAGCGTTTCGAGGGTTTAAAGCGGTGTTGGACGGTTAAACTATAGGAGGTGTACTTCCTCAGATGATCAATTTTTATTGACCTCACGCCATGTCCTTTGGAAAATATGCATGTATGGGAAAACATGAGCGCACACATACATGTACACATGAGCACATATGATAACGTTATAACCACACACCGCACCCCACATAGACATAGACACACACACACATTACAGACACACAGACACACACACACCACACACATACACACACGCACACACACACACACACACACATGCACAGCAGTGACGACAGCAGAGAACACAGACAATTAAAAGTTGCAGCGCATGAAAATAGTACAAAGTCACAGTCTGTATGCCACCCCGTGAGTGCTTTGAGTGATTAACTTTCCTACAGAGCTAGTCACACTACACTATAATTATGCCTTCAAGCATGCATGATACACTGCAATACACTATAATTATGCCTTCAAGCATGCATGATACACTGCAATACACTATAATTATGCCTTCAAGCATGCATGATACACTGCAATACACTATAATTATGCCTTCAAGCATGCATGATACACTGCAATACACTATAATTATGCCTTCAAGCATGCATGATACACTGCAATACACTATAATTATGCCTTCAAGCATGCATGATACACTGCAATACACTATAATTATGCCTTCAAGCATGCATGATACACTGCAATACACTATAATTATGCCTTCAAGCATGCATGATACACTGCAATACACTATAATTATGCCTTCAAGCATGCATGATACACTGCAATACACTATAATTATGCCTTCAAGCATGCATGATACACTGCAATACACTATAATTATGCCTTCAAGCATGCATGATACACTGCAATACAAACAACACTTCCAATAATCAAAGCCCTGGTCCACACACAAAGAGAACTAGGAAATAATTATTAGTAACGGGACAGTTCGTGTTGTACTATGTTACATGAAAATGATTCAAACAACATCTCTCCCGATTGTGTATAACTAGGAAAGGATTGCCTATCCCCCCCCCACCCTTGTTGCCCACCATCTGTATTGCACACAGTGTCTATCAAAATTTCGGGCCAGGCCCGACCGTCACTGGCTTCAAAAATCTGTTTTGGGTAGTGCTGTGTGTATCACTACAGGTGGAATCCTGATAATTCGAACCTCCAAATGCCACGAAAAAAACTTCGAATTACCCGGACATTCTAATTATCCAAACATGACCCAACAACACAATATGTATGTCAAAATGCTCCCATGGTCACGCAGAGTTGCGCTATGGACCTTAGACACAGATTTCACGGATACTGAACTGACCAGCACAGCCTGCTCATGCAAACTGAACTGACCAGTACAGTGTACAGTGAACTTCGAATTACACTTTGCTAACTTCGAATTATCAGCACAAATCCCATAAATTTTCTATGTAAGTGAAATCTGTGGAACTTCGAATTAACCGGACATATCCGGTTCGAGGTTCGAATTATCAGAACTTTTTATGTGGGAATCGTATTGACAGAAGTCGGTCCTGGAAAAACTTCTAATTACGCGGTATGTTCGAATTAAGCCATATTCGAATTATCAGGATTCCACCTGTAATACAGTAGTGTGATCGATGACTGAGTGGAGGGAAGAACTGAGTGGAGGGGAGAACTGAGTGGAGGGGAGAACTGAGTGGAATCTGTATACTCTGAGGATAACACACGGCCCTACCGGGGCGTAGCAGCCGGTCCGGCCGGTCCGGTTTTGGCGGGACCACTTTTTTTTAAACACAGTGCTGCTAAAAGTGCCCAGAATGCAGGATTTTGCACCCTAATTTCAAAAATTTCCGGCGGGATAACCCCCAGACCCATCCGGCCGGACCACCTCTAGCGGCAATGCTACACACTTGCCCTATAGTGTAGGACAAACATGCCAAATATGGACTAGACTGAGAGGTTTCTGTGGCCATAGGGTTCATGCTTACCAACTGTGGTATAGTCCGACCCGCCAGCGAAGTGGCAAATGTAGCCGTTGCACGGACAGCTTAGAGCATGACAGTTCCTTACCCAGAAACGTATGTCAAATTTAGCACTTGCCGCGTATTGCGAGTCCTTTGGAATCTAGGAGAGGAGAAGAGAGAATGAGAGAGAGGGAGAGAGAGAGAGAGAGAGAGAGAGAGAGAGAGAGAGAGAGAGAGAGAGAGAGAGAGAGGGAGAGAGAGAGAGAGAGAGAGAGAGAGAGAGAGAGAGAGAGAGAGGATGAGAAGAAGAAGAAGAAGCAAGTGAGAGAGAGAGAGGAAGACAGCAAGATACACATGCAGACAGACAGACGAACGGACGGACGGAGAGTGATATAGACTCACACACACAGAAACAAAGAAAGGCAGAGAAGGAGAGGGAGCAATATAGGGTAAATACTGGATTGTTTGTTGAATGGACCAGCAGTAAGAAAAAGGGGAAGGCAGAGGGAGAGAGAGAGAGAGTGCAGAAACAATCGACAAAAGAATATTCCAAGTACAATCGGATTGCATTGCGAAAAGTACTTTGGCATCAGAGACATCTACCCCAACTTGACCGTCATAGTAGAAGCCGCACTGACTTTTTGTTGGTGAATTACTGGTGTTAAAGTGTAGCTTTTACTCCGGAACTTTAAATACGGCAATTGCTTACGGTTATTTTGATGATAATTGACCTAGATGAATTTGCTGCAGCAGTAGCTGTGAACGGGGGATCATCTGACGCCGAGCATGACATTGAAGGAACACAGCAGTACATAGTACATAGTACATCGGCAATCATCTTCACTTACTAGTACATGTAGTAATGCACTCTCAGGTGTGTAGCCCGCACGGGGCCCGGGGGGGGGGGGGGGGGGGGGCACGTGCACCCTCCTCCTCCCCCCCCCCCCCGTGCCCCAAAAATGTTGGACCTAAGTAGGTTCAGCATGCACATAAGCCTACCATGAATGACATGCACCAGCCATCTTACACATACATGGGGGGGGGGGGGCATGCACCCCCTAAAAAGGGGACTCCCCTGGTACCAGTGATAGCTCCAATATCATGTAGGTTAGGCAAACCTTACCTGTGAGTTGATCTAGCATGGCTGAATGAAATACGGTCAACGGCCAGCAAGCACATCTACTAAAGTGCATTTCAAAAGTCCAGACCTCTGGTTTCAAAAAACCGTTAGGACAGCATCTATATCACATAAAATCTGTGATCACTTTGTGCATAAATTTTTCGAAATTGGGCGTCTGTTATCCAATCGCTTAGAAATTTATATCAGAAAAATTGCGTGAGCTGCCTGAGTAATATTCCGAAGAAATTTCTCAAAAAGCTCAAACCAAATTTGAATTATTCAAAACAAGTCTAGAGGTCTATACTTTTGAAACGCACTACCTGTACATGTACTTAGGAAAAGCTGGATAAACTAGCTATAGACCAGGCACTGCACTGGTACACACGTGGTGCTGCTGTGCCAGGCAATACGGGGTCTGCGGTCGCCTGACCGGCCACTGGCGCTGCTGCTGCACGGTGCTGGCCTAATCGTGCATGTACACTGCTGACTGGGTGCGTTCGATTAATGCTACGACACGATCTATGAACGGAATCTCTCGTCGTTCGATTTCATGCCATGAGCCCTGGAATCGGTTCGGAATCCATTCACCCTATTCACATGGGACGGTGTGAAGAGCCAGGGGTAGTTATTCATGAATGGATTCAACATCGATTCGTGGGCATAATCGAACGCGCTCAGTGGAACTGTAGGAGTTGCATTTTGATATATGAGCCCCAGCCAGCAGAAACCTGAACATGTGTAATTTTTTCAAAAATTATTTGTTCGCTCGAAATTGATTCTACACTATTAATCATTCAAGTTATCAAGTTTGGTGACAATCTGATAAGCGAAAGCATGGAAAATAGAGTTTGACGTCACACAGGTCAAGATTCAGTACAGTTCGCGCAGCATCCATGCCTAGTGACTCCATGCAAGTAAGTTGATCCTACAGTTTCTAATTGTGATGTGGAACAGGTACATGTAAGTAAGTAGAATGCAAGTCAGGCTTGCCCTCTTGGGGCTGCAGGCATGAGTAGTTCAGAAGTGTGACGATATTCTGTATACACCACTACCTTCTTTACAACACCAGAGTGCAAAACGATGATTGGTGGCTGGCCTTCCAAATTGTGTTCAGGGACCTCTGTGGTGGCAGTTTGAGCGTTGTCCCAAAGCTTGCCATACTGATAGATGTACTGACCAATACCACTGACATCCACTCCCTTGCACACTTTCACTCAGACCATGATTTCAGCATAATTGTATTTCAATGATACGAGCGTATACTCGCGTTTTGTAGCACGTGAAGATGTTGCCCCAAAGCGTTCAGCCGGTTTCAGCCGGCTTTTTAGGGATCCCTTTTCTCAGCACAGGCAGCAGCCAGCTTGGCGTCGTCTGGCAAGGTCGAGTACTGATAATACTACGCTCTGTTTTGCGCCGTGAGAAGCCCTCCATCAGTGTCTGCAACATCATTTTTGTCGATGTAGAAATACGGATCGCTCAGCGGGTCGACATTCAGCTTTTCCTCGCAGTCGCTTTTACTCCAGCGCTGACTATCGTCGCCACCAGTATCCAGTGTCGATTTTATGAGGGCTCTTTGTTGCTATGCATTATGAGACTCACCACTGCTGGACAAACTCAGCGAGATCGCCACCAAAGAAATAATTCCGATCGCGAACTAACTTTCAGCGCCGCTTCGTACAGGGTGTCTCACGCTGACAACTCTGGACCTAAGTCCTTGTCGCGACACCTGTCGTCATCGCTGTGTCTAAACTCAACCTCCCTGTGACGAGCTCTCACCTAGCGCTAAAATCAATTGACCAGAGACATTTGAAGACACTTGAAACTCCTTTGACAACAAAGACACCCACTCGATCGAAAAAGAATCTTCAAAAGCCACCTCACTGCGCGTCCCAAACTTTGACGTCACATTTTGATGATTGATATCAAGTACACAAGTGCTGGTTTTCGCTGGCCGGGGCTCATATAGTATATTTTTCGCAGTAAAAGAGTATTTATTTGTAGAGCTTGTGTTGATACAGATTCCTAGGTTCAAACCCCAAGATGGGCATTTAGTTACATTTTTCTCTCCTTGCATATTTTGTGCATTATTTTGTAAGGATGCGCACATACAGCGCCGGAAACTGAAATCCGACCCCTGGCCTGAGCGGTGCGCTCACATCACAAGGACCCAACACGGGATAGTAAAGCTGCGAAATAGAGACCGCTAGAATGTGAACGCATCGCTCGGGGGTTGGATTTCAGTTGCCAGCACGGTAGTGTAATTATATTAAAAAATAAGTAAAAAAACCTGTGATAAGATGCTCAGGCCGCCAATGGGGAAACAGTAAACCTGCCCTAACCAGACGGTTCCCCTTGATGCAGCGGCAACTGTCCTGATATGACACAGGATTCCGCTTGATCCAGCGATGCAGGTTCGATCCACAGCACGTCGGTGTGCGAAAACATGTCCTGTCCATTCGGGATTCCACTTGGCACAGGGTGTTTGTTATTGTCTTTGCACCAGCCACCTGATGTACAGTTTACTCGTGGGATTGGGTGGCTCCTCTCAACATTTTCGAAATCTATAGCCCAAATCAGTACGTTTCAGTGATTTCCGGGGTATCTGGGACAAAGAGCGGATTTACGGGGTATCTGGGACAAAGAGTGGATTTCCGGGGTAGCTGGGACAAAGAGTGGATTTACGGGGTAGCTGGGACAAAGAGTGGATTTACGGGGTATCTGGGACAAAGAGTGGATTTACGGGGTAGCTGGGACAAAGAGTGGATTTACGGGGTATCTGAGACAAAGAGTGGATTTACGGGGTAGCTGGGACAAAGAGTGGATTTACGGGGTATCTGGGACAAAGAGTGGATTTACGGGGTAGCTGGGACAAAGAGTGGATTTCCGGGGTATCTGGGACAAAGAGTGGATTTCCGGGGTAGCTGGGACAAAGAGTGGATTTACGGGGTAGCTGGGACAAAGAGTGGATTTACGGGGTAGCTGGGACAAAGAGTGGATTTACGGGGTAGCTGGGACAAACAGCGCTACGGGTCAATACCATAGTGACTGTAGCATGGGACAAAGAACAGTACGGTCACCTTTTGCTCACCATTAGTGCTCGGCGCCGTAGAAGTGGTTTGCTGTGAGTTTTGCTGCGCCCAGGTCATGCCGGGAAGGTGGAGTAGAGTGATGACAGTGATGAGGAAAAGCAGGAACGTCATCGCTGACATTATTCCTCGGCCTACCATCTGCAGCAGAACACCAGTATACAGTAAGCAGTAAATGTACATTTAGAGTTTTAGCCTTGCTTTCCGTCAGTCACTCGGCATTGCCATCCTACACGGTACACCAGTCACACAAGTACACCGGGAACTGGAGAAGACTACGGGAAAACCGGCATCAACTCAACATCTAACTGTAGCCATGCTTACAGTACTGCCGGGCGCGGAAGAACGACCAGGCTAGAATTTCACCAAGCACAGCATACCAATGTATACACGGTGACTCAACAGTGCATAGACTGTAATCCATGAAAATAAGAACGGTCTAGGCTAGGAGGCTGACCCCCGTCCAGTTCTTCGGCGACCGACAGTACTGTACGCCTGGGTGGACCTAGCTGGCACAGCAGCATGTGTCACAGTACACAGAATATGCCGGCTGTCTACAGCTTGTGTGCACGCACACAGTACACACACGCACATGCACACACGTACACACACACACACACACACACGCACACACACACACACAGTACACACATACACACACACACACAGTACACACATACACACACACACACATACACATATACACACACACACACACACACACACACACACGCACACAATCATAATCATTGCAGTGGTTTGGCTTTCGGTGTGGACCACACAATGCATTTGACCTGCATGTACACCATGATATACATGACTTGTACGTACGACTGTATGTGCAGGGGCGTCGGACACGGTACGGTCACTACGGTATTGACCGTACCACTTTTTGCCCCAGGTACCCCGTGAATCAATAAAATGCCCTGATCTGGACTCTAAATTTCCAAACTTTTCGGCTCAGCCACCACTCCCCCACGAGTAAATTGTACTTCAGATGGCTGACCGTACCACACTAAAATACCTTCCGACGCCCCTGATGTATGTATGTGTATGTGGTGCTAGTAGAGGCACGAGATAATACTTATTTACTGTGTTCCTTCAGAGCTCTTTACGACAGGAAGGCAGAAGGAGAAAATGTTTGTGGCAAAACAGCTGACTGTGACTTTAGTCTAGAAGCGCGCTCCAGGATGACCTTCGTAAGCTCTACGATTGTCAGCCATGTAAAATTGCTCTGACGTCTGTTCTAGCTTCGCTGTGGTGTGGTCTGGTGTTGTCTGTCCTCACATTCCCAACGATTACGTACAGCAGCTGAGCTGTACTCCGCAATCCGACAAGCATGGTACTTTTCCCAACAGGCAACACTCACCTTTCAGTCGCGCACATTCTTCATAAGCGCACTTGGCAGGCTTCCATACAAGCGCACACACCCAGCAACTGGACCTGAACATCCCCTGCCCGACAACTAGCGAGCATCGTTATTGTTCACTGGCGACGTCCCTTGAAGGACAGTAGGTAGTCGTAGCGTCGAATGCAGTCTGCTCCATTTTTCCGCCTTGTATTATTTATATTCGTAGACCACTTCCCACAAAGCCTTGGCTTGAAGATTATCTTAGCCTAGAGTTGAAGACATGACAGTGTCGAGTTCGCTAACTAACTTCCTTGCGCTGGTCCGGGAACGAACAGGACGAATAATTTCGCAAGGACACAGTGAAAACGGTACATCTACAAAACAATGCACACTGAGAAGCCCAAACTTCCATCATGTTTCCACTACACCGCGTACCGCCGAAACCAGCTCCTCGTCTGAAAGTGGAACAGCAGTGCAAGCGAACCAAGCACAGAGTGGCCATTGACATAATCATTGTACGACTGAAAACTAAAGACTGTGAGAAATGGCGAGGAGCAGGGCTTAGGCTAGGGAGTAGTGAAATGTGTTCCTACAGTGTATTTCTACTCGGCGAAAGTTTAGTTTGAAGTAACGCGTTAGTTTTGTAGGTCTACGGTAGACTCCCTCCTCAGTGAACAGTGACAGACATCACGCACAGTGCAACAGACTGTGGTGTGAAACTAGCGATGAAGCAACTACATGTACTCGGTAGATCTACGGAGCGCCACTGGAGCGTCCTCAACCCCTCCAGCTACTCCAATCATCGGGAGGCAGCCATGCAGTTTCGATCGATACCAGGACCGGATTGGCAGTACGATACCAGGACCGGATTGGCAGTACGATACCAGGACCGGATTGGCAGGTGTGTAACCGCTCTGCCAGTACTGAACATGAAACTGTCAGAATCCTTTCCCAAGAAACAGACAAGATCATCACCGCGAGATAACCTCGCTTACACAAATGCACTCATTTGTAGTTGAAACACGAGCTACCAGAAGCTTACCTTGAAAACCTTGAACGATGCTCTGCGATGTCCAGGAAGTCGCTTGGGTAGGCTTGTTCCGTGTCTCCGTGTCTCACTGCTGTGCCGGCTCCACAGCCTGGTGGGGATAATTAATTATGACTGATGTACGAATAATCGATCCACTGAGCGCAAGGCTGACACGCTATTTACAGCAGCTGTTGTTCCGAAACGGTCTGCAATCGCTGTCTTGAATGACAGTCTTGACAGGCTCCTTGAAACACGCCCTGTCGCGGTACGGATTGGTCTAGCAGCTTTTTGTTGACCAACAAAACCACTCTACTACAGATTCAGCGAAGAAGGAAACAAACCCTTCATTCACCTGCGCAGTCTTCTGCAACGTTTGCAGTGATTTTTACTGGTGCAGAATGCGGATAGCCGTGGCGTAGTGAATGGGGGACATCGCATGTGCCGCTCCTTAGGCTTAGCGTAGAGTTTGATCTGCTGCTACTAGCATTCTTCAGCTTTATCTAGGTACAGTAGTCCCCCCCCCCCCCACACACACACTCCATAATACGCACAGAGCTGCACCGCAGGGTTATGTCAGTGGCGTATCACGCACTCCGCAGTTCCAGTTCAAAAAGCAATAGCCTTTTTATTAATGGTGAAGGGTTGTTGAAATTACACAGAGGGGAGCCGCGCTCTGCGGAGTATACTGTCTTCAGCAGTAGGCATTCAAGAGGAAGACTTGATCAGGGTTACATCAATACATGCACAGTGCTGGAAACTGAAATCCGACCCCCTGAGCGGTTGCGCCCACATCGCAAAGACCTGCATGAGATTGTAACACTACGAAATAGAGGCCGCTACACTAAACACACCGCTCAGGGGGTCGGATTTCAGTTGCCATCGGTTTGTACACCTGTGTTTTAAAACAACGGGAGTCCCTAGTACAATGCATACTGTTTTGTACTGCTCTCTGGTTCTAGCATCATCTCACCAGATCAAGGTGTGGGTCCTCTGCACTCAGTAGAGTCAAGTCGAGCGAGCTGCAACTCACGGTGCCGAAAGGCGGGCTCACGCCCCGACATGGCTACTTCCCCTTGTCTAACCCCCAAGACGAAAATGATAGTAGCCGACTGGCCGAAATAAAAAATAAAGCATCATCTCGTTTCACTTTCAGCAGCAGGCAGTACTAGTACTAGTGCATGTGCGAGTCCGCAACACGCAGTAGTGACATGGTCACCTTCTTTTGCGCCAATTGCCAAAGGTGATAGGACAGCTGAGTGAAGTTCCACGGTACATTGCTGCTCATTAAGGTCCGATCAAGCCAGTCAGACGTCTACCCTGTAGGTCTGTAAGTGCACAGCCCAAAGCAAGGGTGGTGATGGCTTCTGGCCGAAAATTTGGTTGAGACACGCACACACACACCTCAGACCTGCCCATCGCGGAAGCGATGATAGCGAACAGCTATGTTAGACATAGCAACTTGTGCTGGGATTACACCATTCAACAGCTTGCAAGGCTGATGAATTGACCGCCATAAATGTTTAGCCTGGTATCCACCACACCACACCACACCACACACACACACATACACAAATACACACACACACGCACACACATACACACACGCACACACACACACACACACACACACACACACACACACACACACATACACACACACGCACACACACACACACACACACACACACACACACACGCACACACACACACACACACACACACACACACACACACACACACACACACCAAAGATCAAAACAAACACGATCACATCGAACACATTTTCTTACGAAAAGGAGTCTGCATACATTGGATCCAACAGAATGATGACCGATTCAAAAGAGAACATGATGAGGCATGGATAAACAGCAGAAGCAACGATAGAGCAGGATTGACAACTACTGATGTATGTGCTGATGAAGAAAAGTTTCAGAAAGAATATTTTCATGATAAAAAAGCGACGGAAAATAGTGAACATGCGGAAGCATTTCGATCGTAAATGGCGGAATCTGAGAAGTGACATCCAACAGCACGCTCTACCAGCAGCATATCAGCTTCAAGCCGAATAAGCAGAAGAATTCGTTCAAGTTCAAAAGAGAAGAACAAGAAGAGCAGGAACAGCAGGAAAAGATGAAACTACGAAGGAAAACTAAAGTTCACACCGTACTGCACGTTAGAGCCGCAAAGTCGACACTCATTGCCAGTGGATATTCACGGTAGAAAATGCTCGGAGCCGCCGAAACTGCTGTTCAGTGGTTTCTAGCACAGCCCATGCAGCATCACTGAAAACAATAACATACAACGGGATTCGGAAGCTATTGCTTCCTGGGCCATTGTTTCTAAGCTCCTGAAGAAGTTAGTAGCAACTCTGAGCTTCATGTTCATGACAACGCAATCATCAGGCAACGACTCATCGTGATAAAAACACAGGCGATCAACGACAGCCTTGCTGGCCAGTTGGTGGACCATGCAGTGGCGGTCTACGTCTGCCAGTTGTCCCATCGTGCAGTGCTGCACTGTCATATACGTATACCGTATCAACCAACCCATGTTCCCAATCTTGGGCTCTTTGGGGCAGCCACCTACGGGAGCGGGATCTGGTCCTCAGTGCAAAGACGAACGCCCTCACTTCGTCAACTCTGCCTGTTTGGTTGAACGACTATAAATAAATGCACAACCACAACTCGCAGGTACAGACATTTCGGCTTGTTGTGCCCAGGACGGCATATTAGCTACACACATGCACGCACACACACACGCACGCACGCACGTGCGCACACACACGCACATACACACACGCACATACACACGCACGCACACGCACACACGTGCGCGCACACACATACACACACATTTACAATGAACACGTCTAATTGATGATAGCGTAGGCGGCATCACGGCTGTCATCTCCAGCGCCCGTAATCGATGAGTTGTACAGTGGGTTCATTGTCTCACTGCAGAAACACAGCACACCACCATACACAACATGAAAGACAGCATAGAAATGAAAGGCAAGGCCATGAAATTCTGAGAGCGCAATCCAATT